ATACTCAGAGATGCCCTGCATATCTCTAACCAGCCTCCTCTAGTCCTCTGCATTCATTCTACTCTCTCACTGCCAGGTGTAGGCCAATTCAATCTTAGATCCTGCAGGATCCTTACTGGTCTCTGACTCTTCTGAAGACCCAGACCTAGGGCCAGTGTCATTGACTGTCTCTCCATGCAGCCCTGGTTTTGCAGGGAGCGTGAGAGGTGACACTTGTATGGGGAGCTCAAGGCAGCTCTCTCCCATTCTTCCTTCTCCCTGACACTCAGAACTCTCTTCTTCCAGCTGGATGCAGATAGTTTGGGTCAGTTTCCCAGACCAGGCCACCACTCCCTTACATATTGTTGTCTTCACTTATTAGGATGTATGGTCCTTGAGGACAGGGATTGTGTTTGTATTCTCAACCCTTAGCACAATTAATAATGAATGAATGAATGAATGAAGCATTTATTAAGTTCTTACCATGTGCCAAGCATGGTGCTGAGCTCTGGGGTTACACGTAGAAAAAAGTGAGGTGGTCCCTTCTCTCAGGTAGCTCTCATTTTAATTGTTGGGAGTGGACAGTGCAGAGAGGGAAGGTTTCAGCTGTAAGTCAGAAGGAAAGGTCTCCACCAAAATTTCCCCCAGTATTCCTCTTTTCTCTTTCCCAGAGAGCCATCCCATATAACAAATAATACTGTTTAAAGAAAAAGAAGAAAAAATTAGCAAAACTGATTAACACATTGAAAAAGTTTGAAATTATGTGCAGTGTACACACTGTTAACTTCTTACCTCAGCAGAGGGATGAAGTGGGGGTGTCTTCTCATATGTGTTCTTTGGAGCCATGCTTATTCTTTGTAGTTTTGCCACATTCACTTATGATCATTTTGTGGTAGCTTTTTCCATTTCCATTGTTGGAGTCATGCTGAATATTGATTTCTTGGGTCTGTTTACTTCACTCTGCATCATCAGTTCACGTAAATCTTTTTATTCTATCTATTCTTCATAATCATTTTAAAAAGCATATTAATATTCCATTAAATACATGTACCACAATTTGTTCAGCCATTTTCCAGTTGGTGATCATTTATTTTGTTTCCAATATTTGCTATCACAAAAACATTTTAGCATATATGGGGACTTTTCTTATCAGTGACCTATTTGGGTTATAATAAGCCCTAGTGGTGCTATTTCTGGGCAAGAGAGTATGGACATTTTAGTAACTTTATTTTCACAATTCCAAATTGCTTTCAAAAATGGTTGTACTGGGAAAGCCCAGAAAATAGCACCCTAGGAAAAACCCCTGGGATAGCTGAACCAGAAGAAAGATGGGGTGCAGCAGTCCAGTAGCCCAGGTAGCTTGAGGGATTAGTGGGAAAGGCCCCTCTTGTCCTGGGGGAAGGGGAGCAGTACAGAACAGGAGGTGTCCCAGCAAGCTAGTGGAAAGCCCCACCTCAGCATACCAGGAGGAGATCCTGAAACCCAGGTGAAGCAGGCAGACACCAACACCTGGATCCCCCAGTGCCTCAGTGAGGGCGGGGGAACCGGAGGAAACCAGCTTGGAAAACTACCAGGTGCCTCAGCATTCTACGGCAACCGGGTCTCTCAGTGCCTCAGCAAAACTAAGGGAAGCAACGCTTCAAGGGGCCCCAGGTGGAAAAACATCCTGAAACACCCACTTGAAAGGAGCTGAAGAAAGCGAAAGGAAGGAAAGGTTCGGGTGAGCAGGAAATCTCCAGGAGCCACACTGCCCAGTCCTACCCCTAGAGTTCCAGTGTTACTGATTCCAGCCCAACACCAGGTAAGCTGCCAGAACCCTACAGCCTCCAACTGCCAGCACTGGAGGCCCCAGCACACAAAGCCAATGACCAGGGCCAAGGCTCCCAACACAAGAAGCTTGGGTCAGTGCCCTCTGCTCTCCGGCAGGAGAGCTCAGTCTTTCTAAAGGCCAGAAAATAAGCAAACACCATGAGCAGGAAGATAGATTCTTATTATGGGAAGAGAGAAGATCAAGGCAGAAATTGTGAAGAGGACAACATTGTCAACAAACCCACATCTGGAACCTCGAAAGGGAATATGAACTGGTCTGAAGCCCAAAAAGCCTTCTTAGAAGAGCCTAAGAAGGATTTTAAAAGTCAAATGAGAGAGGGAGAAGAAAAAATGGGAAAAGAAATGAGAGGTATGCAAGAGAGAGTCAATAGCTTGGAAAAGGAAGGACAAAAATTAACTGTAGAAAACAAATCCTTAAAAAATACAATTGGCCAACTGGAAAAAAAGTACACTGAAGAAAACAAGTCTCTAAAAAATACAATTGGCCAACTGGAAAAAAAATACACTGAAGAAAACAAGTCCCTAAAAAACACAATTGGCCAACTGGAAAAAAAGTACACAAAAGTACACTGAAGAAAACAAGTCTCTAACAAATACATTTGGCCAAATGGGGAACGAGGTACAAAATCTAATAAAAGAAACCAATTTGTTAAAAATTAGAATTGGGCAAATGGAAGCTAATGACTCTGTGAGAGAGCAAGAATCAGTCAAACAAAAACAAAAGAATGAAAAAAATAGATGAAAATGTAAAATATCTCATTAGTAAAATAACTGACCTGGAAAATAGATCCAGGAGAGACAATTTAAAAATTATTGGTCTACCTGAAAATCACAATGAAAAAAAACTGGGCAGAATCTTTCAGGAAATCATAAAGGAAAACTGCCCTGAGGTCCTAGAACCAGAGGGTAAAATAGCCATAGAAAGAATCCACCAATCACCTCCTGAAAGAGATCCCAAATTGAAAATGCTAAGGAATATAGTAGCCAAATTCCAAAATTACCAGGTCAGAGAGAAAATACTGCAAGCAGCCAGAAAGAAACAATTTAAATATCATGGAACCACAGTCAGGATTACACAGGACCTTACAGCTTCTACATTAAAATACCATAGGGTGTGGAATATGATATTCCGTAAAGCAAAAGAGCTTGGATTACAACCAAGAATCAACTGCCCAGTGAAAATGAGCGTGATCTTTCGGGGGAGGAGATAGATATTCAACGAAATAGGGGACTTCCAAACCTTCCTGATAAAAAGACCAGAGCTCAACAAAAAAATTGATCTTCAAGTACAAGATTCAAGAGAGACATAAAAAGGTAAATGGGACAGAAACGTACAATATGTTGTTAATAAGGGCAAAATGTTTACATCCCTACAAGGGAAGATGACACTTGTAACCCTTGAGAACTGTATTGTTATTACACCATGTTAAAGGGGTATACATAAAAGGGGTTGGGTATAAGTTGACTTTGATGTAATGATTTAAAAAAAAAATCTAATCAAGTGGGTCAAATGTATCCAAGTAAGTGGATTAATCTGATCTAACTAAGAAAATGTACTGAGAGAAAAGGAAAAGAGGAGGCAGACAAGGGTAAATTACATTACAGGAAAAGGCACAAAAACCTATTATAGCAGAGGGAAAGAAGGGAGGGTGATGAGCATTGTTTGAACCTTACTCTCATCAGATTTGGCTAAAGAAGACAATAACATAATCAGGTACTAATATTGATAGACTTAACCCTTCTCAGCAATACAGGGATCTAAGACATCTCCAAAGGCCTCATGATGGAAAATGCTATCCACATCCAAAGAAAGAACTATGGAGTTTGAATGCAGATTGAAGCATACTATTTGCTATTTTTTTCTTCTGTTGCATTTTTTTTCTCTTTCTGGTAGTTCCTCCTATTGGTTCTAATTCTTACTTACGACATCACTAATGTGAAAATATGTTAAATAGGAACGTATATGTATAGCCTATATCAGATTGTGTGCCATCTTGGTGAGGGAAGTGGGGAGGGAGGGGGAGAAAAATTTAAAACTAAAAAGCTTCAAAGTAAATTAATTAAAAAAAAGAAAATGGTTGTACTGATTCATAACTCCACAAAAAATGCACTGCTATGGCTATCTTCCCACAGCCACTCCAATGTTGAATATTCTCATCTATTGTCACCTTTGCGAAATTTGCTGGGTGTGAGGTAAAGCCTCAAGATTGTTTAGAATTGTATTTCTTTTGTTAGTGATTTTGTAATATTCTTTCATATGGTTGTTAGTAGTTTGTAATTTATTTGAAAACTATTTATAACCTTTGATCACTTATCTTTTGGGAAATAGCTTTTGGTCACATCTCTCTCTATATGTATGTGTGTGTATATATATATCTACATATAGAGATATATACATATATATTTATATGTTAATTGTTTATATATCTTGGATCCCAAACAGTCTTTCGTGTGGTGGCTAGTAGTCTGCAGTTTGTCTTTTCAGTACTATTTGTTTTATACACTGATTATTTATCCATTGGGGAATGATATTTAGTCTTTATAGAAGGTATCCCAAAGGTTTTTTACTGCAGTTTCTTATCAGAGATATTTGATGTAAAGATTTCTTCCCAGTTGACAGTTTCCCATCATATCCTAACTGTACTGATTTGGTTAATTCAAAATCTTTATCTTTTATGATGATGTCTGTCCTTTGCTTAGTTAAGGAATTTTCACCCTAAATCATAGATTTGAAAGGTAACTGATTTCCTTTTAGTTTTTTTTTTTATAGTGTATCTTTTAACATTTACCCCTTTTGAGTTTATTGTGGTATCTGGTATAAGATAATGTAAATTTAATTTCGGTCTGTTTTCCAATTATCCCAAAAGTTTTTGTTAAATAGGGAGTTTGGTTTTTTTGGGGTGGGGCGGGGGGCCTAGGCAATTGAGGTTAAGTGACTTGCCCAGGGTCACATAGCTAGTAAGTGTCAAGTGTCTCAGGCCAGATTTAAACTCAGGTTCTCCAGACTCCAAGGCCAGAACTTTATCCACTGTACCACCTAGCTGCCCCAGGGAGTTCTTTTCCAAACAATTTATGGTCTCAGGTTTATTGAACACTAGTTTATTGAGATAATGTGTTTCTGATTCTTCCTTGCCTATACCTAATTTTACTGAATAATCATTAACTTTTAATAACTTTTTTTGTCTTTCCAGGTGCCTTTGTGGGAGTTTTGCACTGGTAAGATTTAGTTGCAATTTGTGATAAATGAGAATATTTGGTTTAAAAGTTTTCTCAAATCTGTTTTATGCACATTAAAAAATGGAATTGCCTATATGTGGATATCTTTAAATTTATTTGATTACAGATGTGCCCCACTTTAGAAAATGATTTGTAACATTTGGACCTCACAAAAATGTATACAAAATAGGTTATAGTTATTTATAAAATATTTTTTTGTAAAAGAATTTGTTGCTCAACAAATCCCTTTAAATCTCTGGGTCCCTTATATGTAAGTTTTTGTTTCCTGAACTTCAGTTGTTATGAAAGAAGGTTTTGTGTATATCTTTTGGGACATGTGATACAGTTTTTGCAGAGGAAACATTTAGTTCTAGGTACTCTTAACTTTTGAAAATCTGTTATAAATGAAGAAAAATACATTCTGAAATTATGATGTAAATATATGGAAAAACGGTATTACTTTGAAGTAACAGATCTCTTGTGTAAAGCAAGGTACTCCTGTGTGTATATATGTACATAGAGATATTTAGTCATTCAATAAGCATTTATTTTATTGTTGTTCAGTTGTTTAAATTGGGTCTGACTCTTCCTGACCCTCTTTGGGTTTTCCAGATACTGGAATGATTTGCTATTTCCTTCTCCAGCTCATTTTACAGATGAGAAAACTGAAGCAAACAGGCTTAAGTGACTTGCTCAGGATTCACATAGCTAGGAAGTGTCTGAGGCCGAATGTGAACCTGGGTCTTCCTGATTCCAGGCCTGATGGTTCTGGTCACTGTGCCACCTAACTGCCTATCTCCCAGGGACTGTGCTAAGCATTGGAGATAGAAAGGCAAAATGTTGTCCCTGAGCTCAAGGAATTTATAATCTAATGGGGAAGACAACACATAAAAGGAATCTGAAAGGGGGAAAGAGGAAGGTCTTGGGCACAGTGATATGGTGAAGTCCTGAGGAGTGCAGGCTTGGTGGGAAATGCAGAGCTGGCTGGCCTGGCTGCCCTTCTCCAACAGAGGATCTGGGAGGAGCTCTCTGCTCAGCCCTCCAGTCACAGGTTCCAGGAGCAGAAGTACTGAAGAGATGTGAGGTCCAGGCCTGAGATGATTTTACAGAAGAGATTCCTATGGCATTATAGAGTCCAGAGGAGGGCAGCCCACTTAGAGTGAAAGAGTCTGGTGTAATGGCTCAAGGCTCAATCCATAGAAATGTTTAAAATACCATGCCCTTTATGGAATGACCATATTACAGAAGAAAAAGGAATGTATTGAATGTATTTATTTTGTATCAGTGCAGTCTCTGAAATAGTAGAGTGTAATGGGAAGAATGTTGGATTCAGTGCATGGACATCTTGGGTCCAGTCCTATCAATGTTACTGCAGTACTTGTGGCAACTACCTTAGCTTCTGTTGGGACTGGAGCTTCTTCATCTGTAAAATGAGGGATATGGCCTTGTATAGTGTCTTCTCCAGTTTTAATGTCCTTCAGTCTTGATATTTAGCACATTGGGTGTGTGTGTGTGTGTGTGTGTGTGTGTGTGATTTCTAAATATTGGCAGAGTAAGAATATGATCTTATAAAATTGGTGTGATTTGAATTTTCCAAATTATTAAATTTCATGAAATTGAAATTACATGTCCAGTGACCCCTATTTGACAGGTAGTACTGAACTTGTAGGTTTGAGATTGTGTGGGATTTTCAAGTCTAGGATATGTCGAGTTGACCTTCCCATATCACAGTCCCACTCTTTGGCCTTTACTTCGTCCACTGTGGCCTTTCTAGCTGTAGCAGTGAGAGAGGAAGGAATTTCTTTTCTAATTCCACCACCAAAACTTCTTGGGAAACTGATGAGACTAAGTTGAGATCTGGCATTCCACTGAAGTATATCTCTTGTTTTAAAATGGCAGGTACTGAAGAATGAGGTTGGCTACAGGGAGCTCTGTTTAACATTGAAGTTTGTTAGAATGGATCTGTTCTCTCTATTTTAGTATTGCCTGCTATATCTGGAAGTATATGTGAATATATATGTATATGTACATATATTTTACATATCTTTATTTCAGATTTTCCTTTAGAGTGCCCCCTTTAAATTTTTTCACTTATGTCAATGAAAAATTCTTTTCCTGAAATATAGTCCTATTCACTTAAAATTTAATTTTTGAGACTAAGATATACTACTTTAAAATTATGTTTTAGTGATTTAATTTTAATTTAGTGATTTAATTTTAATACTTTTTAAAACCAGAGAACTGAAATTTTATTTATACTTAATTACAAGGATTTCAGAGTTTCTCTTATGAACTATTCCCTTTCTCTTATCAGATTTGAAACGTCTTATTTTGTGTGCATATGAGTAGATTTTTTTCCCTGTACTAATTTTCATTCTTGTTTCTTATTCTTGAATGTGGTCCTTCATTTTTTTTTTTTCAGGGCTCATTTAACAACTCTTTTTGAAAACGATCGCCATTTTTCCCACCTCTCAGCCTTGGAAAGGGAGATGACTTTTCGCACTGAAATGGTTAGGCCCTTCTGAAAAATTGTTTTATGATCTTTTAAATAGTTGGTTTAAAACCTAGAAACTTAATGAGCACTAAAATGATTTGATGGTAAATTTTATTCTTTGACAAAATTGTAGCTTAGGGGTATTGCTGTTCCCTAAAACATTTTGATGGCCCTCACCCTTTGCTTTGTCTCAGTTCCTCTCCTTATCTGATGCACCTTCTAATTCAAGTTATGTTAACCAGTTTAGTGAGTAAGTAAAAATGAATGAGCACTTAGGAAATGGTAATATCCAGGGGGTAATGACTTCTAACTTAAAATTAATTTATAAGAGTAGGTTATACAGCCTATAATATTCATTTATACAAATTTTATGTGAGTTGGAATCTACAATTGCATGTCATTTTATGGAATAGTTATATGAATGAAAAATGATTTGTAAAGCTTATTTCTATAAATAAAGTCATGTCTTTATTAACTACCATCATAACATTGGAAATATATTTCTGATGAAAAATAAAGCACAACAGTCCTTTTGAATTCACATATGGAAGAAGATGACTAGGCCATCTTAAAGACCTTGAATCCTTTCCATTATTGGAACAGAATACTAAAATAAATGAGATATTGGTTTAGCCCAGTGTCACATTTCTCATATTGTCATATTTCATGAGAAATCTTAGTGTAGGCCTCTCTATTGGTATATAGAGAGCCCTGCACTGGAAGGCAGAAAGCAAAGTCTGTCCTCTCCTATGGCATATTTTTATCTGAGCTTTCTGTATGCCATATCTTCTTTACATTAAAAGATGATGTGAGACTATTGTGTATGTGAGTTGAAGTACTATTAGCATGGAGAATGTTAACATGGTGCCTTTCATCCCATATGATTTATGTTCAATTCCATTTAGTCAGTTAGTGCCTATAGTGTATAAGGTGCTGTGCTAGGAAGAAAGAAACAAGACAATCTTTGCCTTCGAGTAACTGAGAGTCACCTGAGTGCATATGACCTAGACCCAGACAAGACAGTACAAAGTAATCATGGAAAATGTGGTTAGAGGAGCATCTACAACGAGTGTGCTCAGGAAAGGCCTCTTCTTCAAGGTGGGGCTTGAGCTGAACCTTTCAGGGAACAGAGCGTGGCAGGCATAGGGAGAACAGCTTGTACAAAGACCCATATGTTGCTTATAGGGAACAGCAAGCTGGCCACTTGGGCTGCTAGTGTGGGATGGGGTGAGGTTGCTGATGTGAAATCAGTCATGAGATGTATTCGATGGGAGCTAAATTGTGAAGGGCTTTCAGTGCTAGAGAAATTCGTATTTGAGTTTGTAGGCAATAGGGAGCTGCTGAAGCTTCTTGAAGAAGACAAGGTAGTCAGATCTGGGCTCGAGGGATTTTGAATTGGATATCAGTACACACAAGGTTTTCTTTTTTCCCCTAAAATATACTACATTATAACAAACTTAATCCTCTTCTGCAAGTCTAGGCAGATAATTGGAACACTCCCTTTTAGATTCAAAGGGAAAAACCATTTTCGCTTATTTTCTTTTCATAGTGGGTCATGGTTGTAATACTTAGAAGACTGTTCTTACCACTTGTTTAAATTGAAAAAGACAAAGAATGGAACTGGCTGTGAGGATGCCTCAATGATCTTCTGAATGGTCCTTGTCATCCAATCACTCCTTTTTTTGATACTGTAGTGCTAGGGACCAACAATAGTCTTTTGACATGTATTGATGACCCACTTTGAGCAAAGGCACCATGTGGAATTATAGAAGAAAAACAAATCATGGTACCTGTTCCTTATGGTATAAATCATGGAATAAATTAAACACAATGTTAGAGGGAACGAATCTTAGTAATCATCCTTCAAGTACTCTCACTTTAAGATGTGGAAACTGAGGCCCAGACAAGTGAATTGGCTTTCCCCAGGTTATGACACTGGTAAATGACAGATCCAGGGCTTGGCCTGAGGTCTTTTAATTCCAGGTATTGCATGGTTACTATATCACATTGATTGGTGGCTAGCATTCTTTCTTGCCATTTGATGGTGTAAGACAGCTTATATCTCATATAAAATTAGGCTTAGGACTTGGAAGACATCCTAGTATGCCATTTTTCATCAGCTTTTCACCCCCAAACTCTTCATAATGTGGTAAATAATTAAGCTTTAAATTTTTTGAAAATAAATTTTATTGATATATTTTATTTTTATGTCAACATTTCCCATTTTCTCCCATTACCAGAGAGCCATCTCTTGTAACACAGAAGTTAAAAAGAGGAAAAAAAAAGTTCAGCAAAACTAGCCAATACATAGAAGAAAATCTGTCATCTATAGTGTTCCACAGTCAAAGAAGGAGAGTCTGTCACCATTTATCTAAAAGTATTTTAGAGTGTTTTCTCCACTTATATTTTTTGGAACAAGCTTAAAAAGTTTGTCAAATGTCTGAATTTTTAAATTCTCAGAAATTACTAGTAGAGAGAAGCTTATAAAATTAAATACTGGTCATGGTTAGTTTTTTGTCTAATTAAAAAAAATTAGAAGGAATTATGTGTGAAATTTTAAAAGGTGAGGAAATGGTCATTTCCAAATTTTAATAAAACTAAAGTATTGTCTATTTTAGGGACTTTACTATTCCTACTTCAAGACTGTGATAGAAGCACCTACATTTCTGAGAGGACTGTGGCTGATTATGAATGATAATCTTACTGAATTTCCCCTTGTAATTAATGCAGTGAAACGCTTTCATCTTTATCCAGAGGTGAGTAATTTTGGGAAAGGGAAATCCAGTTTGCCAGTCTGATCTATTAGGGATACAGAGGAGGTTCATTCCAGAAATAAATTTACAGTGTTAATGCACACTTAAGTAACTTTTTTAGTTGCACAGTATTTTGTTTGAGATGTGTCACAGAACTTTACCTATGATTCAGTGTAAGAAGAAAAATAAAAATTAGAAGATAGGGTGCACAATTGAGGCAACTGTGGGCTGTTGACTCTGAAAAATGGGAAATAAAGAACAGACCATCACCATTTCCTAAAGAAATTTCATGATTGTAACCACAGTGAAGAAACTAGAAGGACCTACAAATTCCTTCTGCCACTAGGTAGGATCTCAGAGAAATTTGGTAGGCACAGGCATCACCAATTTAGAATATAATTTTATTTGGAAAGTTTTTCATCATGAAGTGGCAGAGGAAAAAAATTTATGAGATAATCCTTACACACATCACGGACATCCTTGTTTGAGAAGGAAACAGACTGATTTTCACAAACAATATTCTAATTCTCATTACTGCTATATCAGCACACAATTCACTTAAAGGTTCTGAAAATAAAAGACCTAATTAGGGATATTTTTGACTAGTAAAAGTCATGCAACAAGGTATCTCATTCCTATGTTAAAATCATAAAAATTAAAAAATGTAACAATATTTTGCTCTGATTTCCTTTGATTATTAATATCAAGGTAGGCACAAAAGAGAGAAGCATGTTTACCAGATGTCTGCAGTGGAAGACGGTTAACACAGAGTCAGCCTAGAAGAGGGATTCCCTGTGGATCATACAGACTTCTAGATGCTCTCTTATTTTGAAGATGACTTTATGCTGATTGCAGGGCCTCCCAAATGATCTCTGTAATCACTCGAAATGAATAGGAAGAACAAAGTGGGTGAAACAGGTTGTGATCAGCCCTTTAATGGACAACCTATAAAGCTGATCCATTGTTGTATGTATATATTGTATATAAAAAAGTACATACATAAAAATAAGATATTTGGGCTAAGTTGTCCTTGGGAGATTGTGCTGTTCTTTTAGTGACCCCTGTGTTTTTAGTATTGGTGCTATTTTGGTCATCCTGTATAACTATAGTGTATGGAATACTTCATGGAGAGGTGTGTGGTAGGCAGGAGTGGGCTGCAAGATATTGGCAGTGAAGGATGTTTTAGAAAAAGTGGTGTATAGTGTTATCAGAGATGTGTGTCTAGAGAGAACTGGGCCAGTCACGTAGTGATAGTTGGGGATGAACAGTGGACAGATGGCTCAAGGGTGCCTTTGGTATCCACCTAAAGCTGAGGAATCCAGGAAGTAGCCTCAAGTGTGTCATTTTGATTCCTTGTGAAACATTTCTTAGGAGAACATGGACAAGAGGCCCATTGGGTGGAAAAACATGGGTTGTGATCCTGATTATTGGAGTGAGTTCTCTCACTTAAGAGAGAACATCCATTGAAGGGTTGTGCTGAGAGTTAGCGTAGAATTTTTTTTAACATCTTTCATGAATGTACTAGGGAATAACTACAAAGTAATATACAATGTAAATCAGTCCAAAATAATGTGATGCCAGCTGTCTACATAATTACTGAGGAATAGAGAATATGGGGGGGGGTGAGAAGCTATTGAGATGGAAGTAAGCCCTAAACTGGGCCTTGAAGGAAGTGTGAATTTCAACTGTTAGAAAGCTAGGGAGTGGTCAGGAGAGCTCAGAAGAGGTGCAGGGGTCAGTGGGGGAGAGCTAAAGTGGTCATAAGCATGGAATACTAAGGGAGAGGAGGACAGGTGATGCTGGAAAACTAGCTTTTCTGAAGCAGAGTCCAGATGAGGATTTAGGAAGAGCTCGGAAAGCTGAGACCAGGTAACAGAGGGCTGAGAATGTCTTGCCAAGGAGTTTTATTCACAGCCTAATGCTTGCGTTAAAGATCCTTTCATGACGTTGGGGAATTTCTTTACTTTCCTGGTCCATGAATGCCATCCTAGAAATCAGAGAAAGTATGTATGGTTTTTCCCTAGGTTCTCCCACAGTATGCCGAGACTTACACCCCAATATTACAAAGCAAAGTTCTCTTAAAAATGAGGGGAGTGAAACAGGAATCATGGAGTGAATTCATATTCGTTCCTATATCCTGAGTCCCTTAGAATCCGGAGTATGAGAAGCTCCGACAGAGGCCCTTTCTCACCAGGCCTGCCTTGGCTTGCTCTCTCTGCTGCTCAGAGGAGGGATGTGGATAGGAGTGGCAGACCCTTCTCTTTTCTTTTTTTTTCTTTTCCTCCTTCCTAGAAGAGTCACTCAGCTCCTAGTTTTCCAGGTCAGGTTTTCCTGTCTTTGTGGAGTCCTTTCTAGTCAGTGAAAAATGAGAACAGAAATCCATCTCCTGCTACTTTATCTCTCTCTGTTTGCTGCCTTTCTTTTTCATAGGCCTTACTGCCCTTCTCCCACTCAAGGCTGTTTATGTCTGCCACTCATCTTTATGTGGTCTCTGGTTACCGGTCCTGTCAATCACCTTAAATATTCCTTGGAGCAAATTCATGTGGAGAAGCATTCCAGTATAAGCTGCATCTAAATCACAGAACCTTAGCTGTGGAAGAAACCTGAGAGGTCTTTTAGTTCAGTCCCTACCTGAATCCTCTGACAGGGGAGACAACATGTAAATAATTAGGTATAGAGAAGATACCTACAGTCAGAGTGGACAGAAGGCAATCTCAGAGGCAAGGCACTAGCTAGCAGACAGACTGTCTTTCACCAGATCCATACCAGAAGCCTTTTAAGCTGGCTAGAAATGCTGAGAGCTTACACTCCTCTGATGCCTTCTAGGATTTAGTATCTCTACCTTCATAGGATGAAGCAGAGGAGTTAGACTCGAGTTCTAATATTTTACTCAGTTGTAAATAACTAATTTACCTATTTAAATTTACTTTTAAAGTTTTACCCTTGACTTATAGATATAGACTTGATAGAAACTTAAAAAGCTATCTCTACCAGAAAAACTAACGTGCATGTATCTTTGTGTATGTTTGTATGTTTATATATATATGTGTGTATATATATGTATATATATACACACACACAGACACATATATAAATATACACATATATATGTGTATGTATTTGCCTTAAGCTAAGGGATGGACTCTAGCCTGTTGTGTTTGAGACAGTATTCAGTGAATGAAGGAAGTTTTGGAGGCTCAAGCTTTGTTCCCTGAAATTACAACCTGTGGCTTTGTCTGCCGGTGGAGAAAACTGATCTTGCTTGTCTTCATTGGAACTTCTAGCATAGCTCTGGTTTTATAGATTTAAAGGAAAGGAAAATCTCAGTCATTAGAGGGTTGAGAGTGAGAAACACAATGCTGTTGGTGTTGAGACAATTCAGTGTAGCTTGAATGCAAAACAAAACACAAGTGGTTTAATAGTGTCCTCTGGTGGCCAGAAAACAGAGATTTCACTTTTTCTACCTTTTCACTATAAAGGTAAAAATACTAACCAGTGCTTTTGCTAATAGTAACAAGCCTAACCTTTCAAGCTCTGAATAATCAACCTTTTTATTTTTTGTGTTTTGGGGACAGCTCTGGGTTTGTGATTTAATTGGAGTAGGGAATTGCTGGTGTGGAAAGTCCATCCATTGATGCACATCAGCAACTTTTCTGTAACTTGGAGCTTTAGACTGTTGTTTTGAGACACTTGAGTGGTTTGGTCACTTATGTGTCAGAAGCAGACTTGGACCAAGGTCTTTCTGTCTCTAAGGCCTCTCTCTACCTCTATGCCACACACTGTCTCCTAACTAATCATAGAGGTTAGCACATCTCTCCCTTACATGTTCATCAGATTGATAGTGATGCTCAAGTGAGATAACAAAGTACTTGCAGCTGTGTTCTACAACAACTAAGGAGGCTGATTGCAGAGTCACCAATGACATGTTTAGGGGATAAAGCTACATTATCCTTCACTCTTCAGAACTTATCAGCCCAAATGTCTCCTGAGAAAAACCTCACTTCTCATGCTTTATTGATTAAAGATTCTAACTACTTAGGGCTTTAATAAGCATTTTAATGTATGATACTGGACTCTCAAATTCTGTTTTTAGAATATGCACATTTGTATATGGATTGAACTTCTTTTTTTGTATGAAGATCTAAGACTATTTTTTTTTCTTTGTAACAGAGGACCCAAATGTGAAGCCACAAACTGCCCCTATCAGATTCTGATGTTTCCTTAATAATAACAATCTCTTGCCTTATATATTATCTTCATTGTGAGTTTCTGTCTACTGTTCTTCGTTCTTTTATATTTTCAAATATCTTTGATTTCTCATCAGTGTGGCTTTTCCCTCTACCTACACATATTTCAACTCCTTTGGGTATGAGTTGCTGTTAATGAAAATTTCATCACCTGGTGGTGAACCTTTTGGAGATGAATTTCTTTGTCCTTGAGCTATGTTAGATCTTACAAGATTAACACTAAGTTGATGGGCCAGTCATTGAAACCTTTTTAGTCCGTAAGACCAGCTAGAGCTAGCCTGCTGTCAGCAAAGCAAGGACCCAGGGTCGTATCCGTGCCATGATGAGACATCAGAGTAGGCCTGTTAGTATTAGGATGATGCCATTTATCCCATTTTGTGAAGGATGCAGATCATCTCTTGAAAATAGTAATTATGATTATTGCTCTGGCTTTATAAGTTGCTTAATGGTTTATAAAGTTTTTCTTTTTCAACAACATTGTGAGTTAGGTAGCACAATTACTATAATCTCTATTTAACTGAAGAGGAAATTGAGGCTTGGAGAGACTTGCCTATAGTCACATATTAATAACAGGTAGAGCCAAGGTTGGAACTAAGACCATCTGATTCTAAGTTCTTTTCCCTCTGCCATGAAATTTTGAGTGACATTTTCCTTTCATATCTAAGGACAACATTTAGAATGATTGAAACATCATAAAATAACTGCTTTGAGAAGGGGATATTTATAAGGTAGACTATCCTGTCCTTGGGTATCTCTGCTCTTTTTTTTCCTTATAGGTAATCATAGCCTTCTGGTACCGCTTGTACATTGGAACAATGGACCTCACTGGCATTCGAACAAAAGTGTGCTGGAATGTTTCCAGAGGACAAGAGCTTCATCCAGTCGAAAGCTGTGAAGGCAAGTTTAAGATAGTATTTTGTTCTCATGAATATTATTAATATTTATGAGTTTTGGTTATAAATTAGTGTGACTAAGCGGTCAGAATTTCTGTTTCTACATTAGAAAATCTAAGCATTGGAGGGAACCTCAGAGGTTATCACATTCAAACTATACATGTCCAAGAATCCCCTCCAAAACATTTTCAGTAAGTGTCATTCAGCCTTTCCTTGGAGGCCTCCAGGGAGAGAGAACCCCCTTACTTCCAAGGCAGTCCATTCTACATTTAGAGAACTCTAATAATTAGGAGTTCTCTAAAGGAGTAACCAGCATCATGCCTAAATCTTCCTGTGCACCTTCCACAAGGGCCAACCAGAACAGGCCTAGCCCCTTCTTGCATATGAGTCTTTCAGGTACTTAAAGATGGCTGTTGTATCCTTCCTTAGTCTTTTCTTCTTCAGGATAAAGAGCTCCAGTTACTCCAGCTGATCTTCACTGGGCATGAACTCCAGAGTCTTTTGACCTTTCTGGTCACTCTCTTCTGGCCCTTCTCTAGTATTTCTTCCCTTCTCATAACAGAACATAATATTCCTCATGTATTCTAACCAGTATGTAATTCAGTGGAATTATTACCTACCTTGTTCTGGAAACTGTGTCTGTCTTAATGCAGCTTAGGATAGCAGTAACTTTTTTGGATGCTCTGTTGACTCAAATTAGTTTCCAGGGCACTTTTTCCCCCCACAAAAACTGCTGGGTAGCTATCCTGTATTTGTGAAGTTGAATTTTTGAAACCAAGAATAGAACTTTAAAATTATCCTTACTAAATTCATTTTATTCAATTTAGTTCCTTAGTCTAACCTCTTGAAAGAGACCCTGATTCTGTCATCTAACTTATTAGCTATCCATCCCAGCTTCATATTGTCTGCAAAGTTGACAAACATGCCTTGACTAGTATCACCTGAATCATTGATAAGATTATTGAATAGCAACAGGTCAAAGACAGATCCCTGGTCCGTTCTACCCTATAAGAAACCACCTTTCAGTTGGACAGCAACTCATTAATGAATATTATTTGGGTCTGGTCATTCATCCGGTCTCCAGGTGACTTAATTATGTTATCATCTATCCCACATCACTCCCTCTTGTCTGCAATGAGAACATGAACGTCTTTGTCATAGTTTACTTGTTCTGTCAGAAAAGGAAATGGTAGTGTGTCATGACCTATTCTTGATGAAGCTATTGTGGATTTTAGTAATCACTGCTTTCTTTTTGAAATGTTTAAAAATGGTGTGTTCTAGGGGCAGCAAGGTGTTGCAGTGCATAGAGCGCTGAGACTGAAGTCAGGAAGATTCATCTTCCTGAGATCAGATCTGGCCTCAGACACTTTATTAGCTGTGTTACTCTGGGCAAGTCACTTAACTCTGTTTGCCTCAATTTCTCGATCTGTAAAATGAGCTAGAGAAGGAAATGGCAAACTTCCAGTATCTTTGCCAAGAAAACCCCAAAATGGGATCAGGAAGAGTTAGACATAACTGAATCGACTTAACAACAAGAATTTTGTAAGTTATCAAAGTCAGTCTCATTGACCTGTAGTTTGTGGATTCCATATTTTTAAATTGGAATAGCATTTCCCCTTCTCCAGTTCTGCTACACTTTCTTCCTTGTTAGGAACTTGCAAGAATCACCAGCCATGATCTAGTCATCACATTTCCCAGTTATTTCTGTCACTTAGGGTGTAATTAGTCCAAATTATTGTCTTGAGCTCATCGAGTATGAATCTTGATGCTGTTACTATTCCTTTACGTTTTTTTAAATTTCCATTACTTCTAGCAGTTTTCTTTTCATCTTTCCTTGTCCGAAAATTAGTCTCCTTAGAGAGTAGAACTTAAAATAAGAATTGAACAGTTTAGGATTGTTGTCATAATACTTGTCCTCCTCACCATAATCCCATCTACTCTGAGCCCCTGTTGCAGCTTTTTGCCTTCCTCTTGCCCCTAAGATTTTTAGAAGCTATTTTTATTTTGAGCTTTCATCACTAGCTTCGTGTCATTCTGGGCTTTATCACCTTTGGACATTATTCCTGTAGGACTATGCCACTGTATTGTATTCATTCTCAATTACCCTTCCATCTTTTACACCTATCTTTTATTTATTTTTCAAAAAATTATATTTTTATTTATTTTAAATTTTTAAATATTTCCCAATTTTAAATTAAAAATTTAATTTTCATTTTTAGTTTTGAATTCTAAATTCTCTCCCTCCCTTCTCTTCCCCCACCCATTGAGAAGGCAAGCAATATATTAATTATAAATGTGAAGTCATGCAAAACATATTTCCATATTAGTCATGTTGCAAAAAAATACACAAAAAGCAAGAAAGATAAATTTGAAGTCATCTGCCTCAATCTGCTCTCAGAGTTTATCAGTTTTATCTCTGGAGGTGGATAGCATTTTTCCTCTGGGTCCTTTGGAATTATCTTAGATCATTGTTTTGATCAGAGCAACTAAGTCGTTCACAGTTGATCATCATGTAATATTGCTCTTACTGTATATGTAATCTCCTTGTTCTGCTCATTTCACTTTGTATCAGTTCATATAACTCTTCCCAGGTTTTTCTGAAACCATCCTGCTTGTCATTTCTTATAACACAATAGTATTCCATCACAGTCATATACTACAACTTGATCAGCCATTCCCCAGTTGACAGGCATCCCCTCAGTTTCCGCATCCCCTCAGTTTCCAATTTTTTGCCACAATAAAAAGAGTTGCTATAAATATTTTTGTACAGATCATTTTATTTTTTCTTTAATCTCTTTGGGTTACAGACCTAGCAGCAGTATTGCTGAGTTAAAGTATATACACAGTATTTTAGCCCTTTAGAGTGGACATCGTTCCAACTTGTTTTCCAGAATGTTTGGACCAGTTCCCAACACCACCAGCAGTGCATTAGTGTCCCTCTTTTTCCACATCCCTTCTAGCATTTGTCGTCTTCCTTTCCTGTCACATTAGCTAATCTTCTGGATGTGAGGTGGTACCTCAGAGTTGTTTTAATTTGCATTTCTCTAATTATTAGTGATTTAGAGCATTTTTTATATGACTATAGAGAACTTTGATTTTTTTCTTATGAAAATTGCCTGCTTGTGTCCTTTGACCATTTATCAATTTGAGAGATGGCTTTTGCTTTTATAAATTTGACTTAGTTCCCTGTGTATTTGAGAAATGAGTCCTTTTATCAGAGAAACTTGCTGTGAAATTTTTTTCCTAGTTTCCTGCTTTCCTTCTAATTTTGGCTGCATTGATTTTATTTTGTACATATCTTTTAAACAAAAACAATCCTAGTTGGTTGATGAGCTCTTTATGGAGCCATATTGGTCTCTTTAAAGCAACTCCCTCTTTTCCTTTTCATTGAAATTATTTCTTGTATGTTGAGTCTTGAAAGTTTTATTCCTGGGAAATTCTGATCTCTCGTGAGTCACATTCTTTTTTTTTTTTAAATTTAGGTGTTGAAAATCTCCTTATCGATTCTCTCAACCTTTGCAATCTCCTTTCCTAAAAATGGGTTCATGCCAGACTTGACTTGACTTGACTCACTTCCGTAATTCAGTGATTACTGGCCCTTAAATGCTTGTTGTCTCTACTCCAAAAATTTGAAAAGTCATGAGCAGTTGCTCTGCTTTATTACTACACTCTTCTTATGGCATTGCAATGACACATTTCCCTAAATTCTTCAGGAGACTCTCTTACTACTCATTCTACTGACCTTTTTCCCGACATTTTCCTTGCCTTTTTTGCAAATGTTGGCCCTGGTGACCACCTCCATATACTTCAGTAATACTTTCTTTCCCCAGTTTTGGAAGTTATTGATCAGCAAGCATTTATTAAGCACCTCCTGTTTGCTGAGCACTTTGCTTAGCCCTGGGGTTAAAAAGACAAAAACAAATTAGTATTTCTCGCAAGGAACTTACATTGTCTCTGGAGAAACACATGCACACACATACACACACATAAAAATAAAACTCTTTTACAAGGTAAATGCAAAGTTATTTCAAGGTGGAAGGGTGATGACTTCAGTAAGAACAGGAAGGCCTCATGTAAGAAATGGCCTTTGAATTGAGCTTTGAGGGAAACAAGAAGAGAAGCTATTAAAAACCTCAGAGATAGCAAAGGGAGTATTCTGTATGAGAAACAACCCGTAGGCCAGTCTGGTTGCAGGGTTGATTTGTGGAAGGGTGGAATATGCAATAATTCCTGGAAAGGTCGCTAAAATCAGATTGTGAAGTTCTTTGCCAGAGAAGTTTGTTTTCAGTCCTAGAGGCCTTTGGAAGCCCCTGAAGCTTGTTGACCATGAGAGTGGCTTGGTTAGGCCTATGTTTCTGGAATGTCAGTTTGGTGGCTGTGTGGTAGATAGACAGGATGGGGAAAAGCTGAAGAGAGACCAGCTGGAAAGCTTGAACTAGGGTGTGTGAGTGTGAAGAAGGAGTATGTACTAGAGAAGTTTTTGTGAGAGACTCAGCAAAACCCGACAACTGACCAGTTATGAGGGTGCTGGGGTCAATGAGGAATCAAGAAGGGTTTTAATCTTAGAAACCAGGGTGAAGAGAAGTGTGATGGTGCTCTTGGCAGAAACTGGGATATTTTCTTTCTCCTTCTGAAACTATTCTTTATCTGATTCCTTTACTGGCTCCTCCTTATCTGCCTGTTTTCTTAATGTCAGTGCTCCCCAAGGTTCTCTCTTCTATTCTCTACTTTCTTTACAACAGGGCTTCTTTACATAGGTTCTATAGGTTCCTTGTGGGTTCAGGATTAGAGATTTTAGAAGTTCCATGAACTTGGATGAAAAAACAGACACACACACCTCAGCACCTTTTTTCCAATAAGATTTGTTTCCTTTGTAGCCTATATAGTTTAGACATTTAAAAACATTATTCTGAGAAGGGGTCCGTAGACTTCACCAGATTGCCAGAGAGATATAGATTGCCAGCAGGGTAAGAGTCCCTACCCTAAAGGTAGCTTTAATGTGTGAAAAAGCACTGTAGATTATCACGAAACCTGGACCTTGGTTTTGACTAAAGCATTTACTAACGAATGAGCTTTGGCAAGTATTGTCAAATAGCAGTGCCTCAGTTTTTTAAAAATATGTAAAATGGGGAAAATAATAGCTGTGTGGCCTACTTTACAGGTTTGTAGTGAGTTCCAAATGGTCATGTTTATGTAAAGCACTCTGTAAACTGTAAAACATTACAGAGATATCATTTAGGGACTTGTCCAGGGTCAGGTAGCTGGAGTGTGTCAGTGGTAGTATGGAAGGTGCCTAGAACTTCCCGACTCTGGGGCCAGCTCTCTGCTGGATGTTTCCTTGATCCCTCTTTGATCTCAGGCTCACATTCTTAGGGCAGGCCTGCTTTAGGACCTGCCTTGATACTGCAGTCATCTCCTCTGTTTCCCTCCATTCTCTTTCCTTTTGGATCTGTGTTTCACATTGCTACCAGATTAATTTTTAAAATTAATTTTTATTGATATCTTTTGTTTTTACGTCACTTACATTTTCCAATATTATCCTTCTCCTCTCCTAGAGGAAAATTGTCCAAAACAATTCATCATCTTTCCCCATGAGCCTTTCTTTGTTCCAGATGTTCTCTTTTCTCTTGAAGGCACCACCACCATCTGTCTTTCCAGTGTCTCAGTTTTAGAATCTTAGCATCATCCTTGAGGCTTCACTTTCCCTCCTTCTACACTTTTGGTGGTGGGACCAAAAGTACAAGGAATGAAGCCACCCCTCCCCACAAAGAGGTTACACTCCACAGTCAGTTGCTAGTTCTTGCCATTTCTGTCTTCCCGGTGTCTTTCTCATCCAACCCTTCTCCACTTCACTCAGCTCCCACCTGTCTTGTTAGCAGCATTTTCCTGATTGGCCTTCCTGCTTCAGGTCTCTCACCACTGCATTCCATTTTATACATCAGCCAAAGTCATCTTCCTTCAGGCAACTCCCTTATTCAATTCCAGTAACTTCCTAGGGTAAGATATGACCACCTCTGTTTAACTTTTAAAGCCCTACCCAACATGACCCCAGCCTAACTCTTCTAGTTTTATTAGACATTACTAACCTTTCCACATTCTGCAATTTGGTCTTTTTTTCCTCTGTTCCTCACTCATGACATGCCATCTCCTGTCTTGGTGCCTGTGTACTCCTCCCTTATCTTGGTGGCTCCTTTTTCTTTAAAACAAGGCTCAGATGTCAACTTCTGCATGCATTCTTTCCTGATTTCTCATCCCATTCCCCCCCAAACTGCTGGAGCCATCCCTCCCATAGTACCTTGTATTTAAATGCTTTGTGTGTGTTTGTATATACATATATATTTATTAACTTTATATTTATGCTGTATGTATTTTTAATTGTTTTTTTTTTAGTTTTCAACATTCACTTCCATAAGCTTTTGAGTTTTAAATTTTTTCCCTCTCCCTCACTGCCTCCCTTCCCAAGATAGTGAAGAATCTGATATAAGCTCTACATATACATTCCTATTAAACGTATTTTCACATTAGTCATGTTGTAAAGAAGAATTAGAACCAATAGGAGGAACCACAAGAGAGAAGAAACAAAACAAAACATAATAAAAAAGAGAGCAAATAGTATGCTTAGATCTGCATTCAGACTCCATAGTTCTTCATCTGATTGTGGATAGCATTTTTCATCATGAGGCCTTTGGAGATGTCTTAGATCCTTGCATTGCTGAGAAGAGCTAAGTCGGTCAAAGTTAGTAATCATACAACGTGGCTGTTACTGTGTACAACGTTCTCCTGGTTCTGCTTCACTCAGCATCAGTCCATACAAATCTTTCCAGGTTTTTCTGAAGTCTGCTTCCTCTTCCTTACATTTATACACCACAACTTGTTCAGCCATTCCCCAGTTGATGGGCATCCCTTCAATTCCCAGTTCTTTGACACCACAAAAAGACCTGCTATAAATAATTTTGTACATGTGGGTCCTTTTCCCTTTTTTATGATCTCTTTGGGATACAGCCCTAGAAGTGCTATTGTTGGGTCAAAGGGTATGCACATTTTTATAGACACAGTTCCAAATTGCTCTTCAAAATGGTTGGATCAGTTCACAACTCCACCAACAGTGCATTAGTGTTCCAGTATCTTCTCCAACGTTTATCATTTTCCTGTTTTGTCATGTTAGCCAATCTGATAGGTGGGATGTGGTGTACCTCAGAGTTGCTTTGATTTGCATGCTATATGTATATTTTTATGTATACTTTTGTTCTGTCTTAATGGAATGTAAGCTCCTTGGGAGGAGGGATAGTTTCATTCTTCATTCTTTAATCCTCAGCACAGTACCTGGCATATCATAGACACTTAATAAATAATTTTAATTAGTTGGTTTTGTGGGTGTTTATTAACTACTCAGTACTGTGTTGTTGTTTTTAAAGGACTGGGAGACCCTGCTTGCTTTTATGTTACTATGATTTTTGTTTTAAATGGACTAATGATGACATTATTCTTCATATATGGCACATACCTAAGGTAAGACTGTTTAAAAGTTGTTTCAAGTGGACTTGGTTTATTTATTGATTAAATATTAAAAATGAGTTATTTTATAGTAGTTCATATATTTATTGAAATCTATGTAAGGAGAGCCTCAGCACTAGAAGGCTGGCCCACCAGATGGTGGTTTTACTTGGGCCGCAGTAATTCCTGAAATAACTTAATGAGATGAGAAGGGTCATGATTTAATCCCTGATTAGATTGCCGATGATATGGAACTTTTAAGTAAGTTTAAGGGGAGGATAGTAATGATGTACATATAGAAGCTTGGAGATGCCTTTGAATGACAAATCACATAGTTTTGTTTAAGAATCCTTAACAAAGTGTTTGGTTTCAGTGTTGGCATGTCTTGATTTGTAAACACTAGAACACATTTTATTGGAAGCAACCCCAGAGATTTTAATTTAGATTTTCTCAAATAGAAAGTAAATAATAATAATAATAATAATAATGATAATAATATCAAATAAATGGGTATGAATTTTATTTTTGCCTCTTAATAAAATACTTCCTGATTTTAAAAAAAATTAAAAATAACTTTCTCCAACTCTTGTATTAATTTGAAAGATAAAGTTTATTAACCTGTAACTGTAACACCTTTTACATTTACAAATTCTAGAATTAGTCATTCAAAAAATATCATTTTTCTTCACGGTGCCTGTGGACAGAGTGGTGATCATATGGTCCTTTCCCTTAAAGAGATTAAAATCTCTTAAAGTAGGTGAGGGTGATCAAGCTCTTTTGAAGACAAATGTGACAAAATCACAAAAGCGTGTTGAGGAAAATGTGTCAGAGATTGTGGAATGTGTTAGACGTGAGGAATGGCTGAGGTTGTTGGAACTTCTGTTTCAGAAGGGAGCTGGTTTCTAGTTTGGTGCCCAGTAGGAATGTGTTTTTAAGTGTCCATTTTATTTATAAATATAAGTCACCCTGTTAATTCTCATTGTATTGTAGAATATTAACAATTTTCCTTTTGTAATTTAGCTTCTTTTCTCTAAAAACAAAAGCACATGTTTTGTACATGAAGCATTTTTTGTTATTTCTGAATATACTAACCTCATGATCCCTTTCAGGATGAATCTTCTCTTCTAAAAAAGGAAACCAGTTAATTGCAAACAAGAGATAACCGTGCTGGCTTCTGGCAGTGTGTCTGTCTGCAGTCCTTTGCCCTTGCAGTCCTTCCTCTCCCTTTACCCAGAGGAGGGACATGGGTGTCACTATCTGCCTCCTGGCAGCACTTAGCAGTCTTGCCCATTAAAGGCTTTGTAGTCATGGTTCTGCTTGTTCTTTTCATTGTGATTATTTTAATCTACATTTGGGAGTATAAGACCTATACTACTTCATATTTCTTAAAGGACTCTTTTTTGTTGCACACTGATATTCCATTATATTTAATGCCACAGTTTTTTTTAAAGCTCTTCCCCAACTGATGGACACCTATTTTGGTTCTGTTAATTGCTGCCACAGAATATACACCTATGAATGTTTTAGTATGTATTGGACTTTTGTTTCTGTCTTTGATGTCCTTGGGGTATGTGCCCAGTAGTTGAATTGCTGGGTCAAAAGGTATGGGCACTTTAGTAATTTTTCTTGCCTAACTCCAAATTGACATCCAGAACAGTTGGTCGACTTCACAGTTCTGTGGACAAGTACTGTATCTGTCTTCCCACAAAGATGTTATTCCCATATTTTTTCACTTTTGCAAATCTGATGATTATAAAGTTAACCCAAAGTAGTTTTAATTTTCATTTGTATACTTTTCTTATAAATGGAATTTGCCCTATTCATATTTTCTCTATAAAAACCAAAATCATTGAAAAACTGTCTGTTCAGGGTATATGAGCCACTTATCACACTCCAGTAGTTTTCCATTGCAGTTACCTTTCTTTCAAATTTCCAAAAAGTTTACTGATTGTGAATGTTCCATGTTTTCATGTTAACAGGTTCCATGTTTCCATGTTATCATAAAATGAACATAGAAAGGCAGCTCATAGAAATGATCATGGCTATGTGGCAGTATTTTCAGTCTTTCTCTCTGTTCTTTCTTTTGTATTTTGGTTTCTCTCCTGTCTTTTCTTGTTGGAGCCAATAGAGAGTTCTTTTAAAAAAATAGATTTTTATTGATATCTTTTGATTTATATCACTTAGATTTCCCCTATATGTCTTTACTTCCTCACTCCCACCTTTCAGCCATCCCCCATAATAAAGACTTTATTTTAAAAGATCAGTAAAACTGATCATTACATTGAAAAAAACTGATGTTATATACAATATTCCACACCTGTGGACCCTCTGCCTCTGAAAAGGTTTGAGGGAATTGTGTCTTCTATTTCTTCTTTTGGGACCACACTTTTGACAGCGGATTCATTGAAGGAAGAGTAATAATTCAGTCACCCTTAAATTTCCTTGTTTACCTCCTTTGGTCTTTCTCTCTACCTAGCACACTGTACTATAAATGTAGCTCTATGTAGATTTCTCCTGGTAGATTGGTTAGATTCAGTCTCTCTCCTGAATGTCACCTGATATTAACTTTCAGGATGGGAAGTCCCTTAATTTTGAGTGTAATTAACTCATTCTGATCTGAAAACTTTATTTCAGGCTCTCGGAGTTTGTTTTTCCCATTCTCTTGCTATTCATTTTTTTCTTTCTTCTGAAATAACTGTCTTTAAAACATTTCATCCTTTGGTGTTTCCAACAGTTTTAGAATTAAAGTTTCAGTGTGAAAATCTATTTTTTATTTTCAATACTTGTTAATGGGAGACAACCCATGTATATGTATGTATGTGTATGTGTGTATATATATATATATATATATATGTATGTATATAAAATACATGTATATTTATATTCATATTCCAAAGCTGAATGTAATCCCTCTATTTTGCTGAACTCCCATTATGCTTTATACTCTCAAATTCTGTCTTGTGTTATAGTACTTACATCTTTTTCTCCCCAGTAGACTACAAGCTCTGTGATGGTTGCTATTATATTTTATTCATAGAATCATAGTATCACCTTAGGGCTGAAAGAGACTTTTGAGTTCATCTAGTCCAGTCCTTTTACTGCCTCTTATTTTGAAGATGAAGAAGCATCTACATGATGTGCCCATATAAACGGTAAGGATCAGAACTAGCATTTGAATCAGGAAAGACCTCTGATAACAGGTGACATTTTCACTGACCTTTGAAGGGATGTAGGCATTCTAAGAGGAGAAGTTGAGGAGGGAGATCATTCCAAGCCTGGGATACAGCTCATGCAAAGTGATGGAGAAAGGAGGTGGGATTGGAATGCTGTGTACAGGAACCACAAATAGGTCAGTTTGGCTGGATATATACATTGAAATAAATTCACACCACCTCCTTCCATCTCTCCCTCCACCATGATGAATTTCTGCCTGCCTAAAGAGTCACTCCCGTCCTCAACCCCCACTTCCCTGTTTGCTCATCCCTATCCTTCCCCTATCCCACTTGAACTTTACCTGCTTCTTCCATTGTGTTCTAAAATTTCCATTCCATATTTAATACATTTCCTTTCATTTAGCTTTCTACTTAATGTGCCCCTCATTCCTTCTGACCTTCATAGAGATTTGGCTTCCTCTAAATGGACTGAATCCATTGCCACCATCTTTAGCCTTGGCTATTCTTCTCATGTATCCCCTGGCACGCAGATGTTGGAGAGGGAAGTCAGAACACTTGTTGACCGGCACTGCTACTTCCAGACTCTCCTTCTCCTTTCATTCCTTAGCATTACTGTCTTCTTTTGAGGTTCATTTCATCCAAATTTTACCCAGTCTAGATCCTACTGGCTCTTAGTAAAAGGGCCTTTCACAAAGTGTTCAGTATTTGACTGAGTCTTTCTTTATATCCCAAATCCTGTCCTTATACTAGGGGACTTCAATGTTCATGTTGATATGCTTTCAAACTCTATAAATTCCCAATTCTTTAATGTCTTCTACTTTGATGACCTACTTCTCTGCTTCTCCTCAGTAGCACGTAGGGAATGTCTCCCATTACCCACAAGTTTTCCACTTCCACAAAAACTCTGAAGTTCCTTTATCAGACCATAACCTCACATCATTCCTTCTCTCCTTTTGCCTTATTTCTCCTAAACCTGTTCTTCAATCTTATAAGGACCTCCAGACCTACCAATACTTAATATTTTCCCCGGACAACTTCATTTTTCACCTTTCCCAATCTTGATCGCAAAATTAATTAGTTCAGTTCTGCACAGCCCTCTATTCTTGAATCCATTTCCCCCTTGTCTTATTGCTGCCCATGTTTGAAGAAACCTGAACCTTGCATTACTTCTATCTTCCTTCTCTTCCGCTCTTACTCATGTACTGCCCAATAGATTTGTAAGAAATTGAGCAACAAGTCAGCCGGGTCTACCATACATTTATATTATCTCATCTGGGCCCTCAATGTAGCAAGAAAATCTTTTGTCCTCCTCCTAAATTTATTCTTTATCCCATTCCCCCAGAGGATGTTCCAGATCTTCCCTTTCTGCCCTCAAGTCTTTCACAGAAGTGCCTTCTTCTACCTTCTGTCACCTAGATAACAACTCCTCAGTCTTTTTTTGCTTGTTCATCATCCATATTACAAACTCCTAACTGGGGGCATGCCCTTTTCTTTTCTCTATATGGGTTTACTGACTCAGGGCCCTCATCAGCTCCAGTAGGTTTACTTATCATCCCTATGCAGATGACTCCCTAATGTAGATCGCCAGCCTTAATGTCTCACCAAAGCACTGGTCACACCTGCTCAAGAAGCTTCAATGGCTTCCACTTGCTTCTAAGATAAAATATAAACCTTTCTGTTTGGTGTATAAAACTCATCACAGTCTGGTTTCAGGCAGTGTTGTCAGGCTGATTATACATTAATTCATCTCACCAGTCAATTAATGAACAACCATTTATTAAGCATTAACCATGTGCTAGGCACTATGCTAGGTGCTATGGATATAATAGCTAACATTTATAT